AACCATAACCTACTTTATTTATCACAAAACTATCATGAAACCCTTATCATTCTTCAAATACAAAACCCAGATCCAGAGACAAGGCCACCAGCTGAGGCAGGAAAGAACATGCCATCCTGCCATTGGGTCAGTGTAACCCAAACAGCACCAAAACCTGATAAGGAGCCCTCATGACACAGCCAGGGCAAGGTGGCTGACAAGGGGGTCATGTGGAGTCTTGGAAAAGGGGGAGGGCAGACAGAAGGGACCAAACCCAGGCACAAACTGAAATACAGGAAATTCCACTTGAACACAAGAAAACGCTTCTTCACTGTGAGGGTGGTTGAACACTGGAACAGGTTGCCCAGAGAGGTTGTGGAGTCTCCGTCCTAAGGGATATTCAAAACCCAACCGGACAAGGTCGGGGACAACCTGCTCTAGCCTATCCTGCTTGAGCAGGGGGGTTGAACTAGGTGATCTCCAGAGGTCCCCTGGAACCCCAACTATTTTGTGATTCTATGAAATCATGGTTCTTCCATCTCACCCAAAAATCACATGGAAAGTGACATCATTTCACACTGGATTTCTCAGATACCAATACAGAGGAAAAGAGAGGGACGAAAACCACCTTCTTTTACCCTATTGGAGGCCCCCATGCACGGGGAACTTCTGAGAGTCACATCAAAGGCAAGCTCCTCCAGGAGGCTGTCTGTCACCTATGTGCAGATTGCAGAGCCCTGTGGCTCTCTGAGAGAAATCGTCAGTCCATGGGGCAATCTTTAACCAAATACCTTTGCCAGCTCCGTCCTCTTCCTTCCCTTGCCCCAAATAGGGAGTCTGCCTTGAGCTCACTCTAATAATGGCCCAGGACATACCCTGGAGGCCAGCAGCCAGGGAGAGAGGGAGTTTTTCCTCTCTGTGCTAGGGCAGTCGAGCTGTAGGGCTGGAATATTGGGTTCTCTCACATGGGTCCCTTTCATGTCTGAGCAATGCAACCAACGCAGATCCATACTTGTGTTAACATTCTACCACATATACCTGTCACAGCAGAGCTCTTGAATAACAGTAAAGAGATGGAGAATGATTGTAAGGCTATAGAAATCTTCAGACCCCACTGATAACCCAGCTATGGCTATGTACCCCTTTTCCTGGGAACTCATTCCCTTCAGTGCCTATTCCTCTGCCCCTGGGAAAGGGATACCTTCACACATGCTGCCATCTCTGGACACGGCATAGCCAGAATCACAGGCCACACAGGAGTAGGAGCCCTCAGTGTTGAGGCAGAGTCCAGAGGGACAGGCAGCCTCAGCTGTACACTCGTCGATGTCTGCATAAACACACAAGCGAGAGTGGGATGAGCAGGAAGGACAGAGAGAAACCATGAGCAGGGGGATCAGGAGCAACTGTGTTGAGGGAAGAGGCCAACACTGGGGCCAGAGGCTCAGTACTAATTATCGGCAGCAGAGCCAAGCACTCAAGAAGAGCCCAAGAAAACCTCTGGATTGGGTGCACAACACTTCTGAGGGTGATGGGTCTGAACCAAGAGCTCCCCAGTACCTTGGCAACTCTTCCCATCAAGTGCCACCTCGTAGCCCTGGTAGCAGGCACAACGGAAGGAGCCGTCCAGGTTGACACACTGTCCATGAGCACAGGTCCCCTCCACAAGGCACTCGTCCACATCTGCGTGACATAGCAAAGGGCAATACAGCATGGCAAGGGTGCTCAGAGACCCTGGGCCATCTCCACCGCTCGCACCACAAGGGTTCTGTGCTCTGGCCACAGACATTGTCTGTCCCCTGGAGAAATGTGCTGCATATGCCCCCCACTCTGTTTGAGGCTTGCACATAGCACTGCCATGAGTGTGCTTTCCTGAGAGTGCCCAAGTTCCTCACCAATGCATCTCCCATTCCTGGGCTGATAACCATCTGGACAGCTGACACACTTGTAGGCCCCTAGGGTATTGACACACTTTCCATTGGGGCAAGGACTGGGGTCCACACACTCATTGATATCTGCCAAAAAAAAAAAAAACACCACACACACAAAAAAACCCCAATACACTCCTTTCAGGCTCTGAAAGACATACACTGCAGGCTTCTCCAGAATGTCTCTACAGCCAGAACCTCAGAATCCCCCTTCAAGACAATGATTCTGAAGGACAGGAGTGCCGAGTTCTTCAGGGCTTGGGCGACATTTATTAGAATCTCAATTATCATTTGGGAACCTACAACTACCCCTGAGGGCTGACATAATCCAGCAGTGCAAGTCACTGCCACAGGACATTGTCAAGACCAGAAATATGTACAGGTGCAGAAAGAGATCAGACAACATTTATGCAGGGCTGTTTCACTAGGAGTTTTCATAACTATGATTAGGATGCAGTCTCCAGCTCATGAAGTCCTTAAAGCCAGTACTTCCTGAAGGCTATGTTTGGGACAGCAGCATTCTGTACACACTCTAATTTCTACACTGTATCCTTAAATGTGCTGCCATCCTCCATTGGAAAAAAGGCTACCGAGAAAGAAAGATCTTTGACCAGGCAGACCATATGCTCACAAGGTCAAATGCTCTCAAAGGCCCAGGTCATTTCAGATGAATGGAATGCTGTGGGGACAGATGGTATGAGTCTCTGCAGCCTTCTCTCCCTTCAACGTACTGGGCAGCACAGGGATATGGTGACAGAATCAACCTGGCACTAAAAAGCACAGCCATCTCTTCCCAGACTGGAAAGCCAGCACAGGTTGGTCCCAGTGTGCTGTGGAACTCTTTGTGGGGAAATGGGAGAGGATCTAGAGAGAGCTCAACCAGCCCAGGAAAGCCTGTCACTCCTGCAGGGTGAGGAGGGGACATCTGGCTGTCACAGGAGGTACACAGCAGACAAGAATGTCTTTCCAGGGCAACCAAGCAGTGAGGGAAGGAGGTATTCAGCTCTGGCTGGATTTGAGGTGCAGGGGAAGAGGGAGCAGCAAACTTCACCTTCGCACTGTCCTCTGGGGTTCATGACAAAGCCCTCCTTGCACTCGCAGTGGTATGAGCCAGGAGTGTTGATGCATTGCTGCCCGGGGCATGTGGAGGGCTGGACACATTCATCCCGATCTGGCAACACACAAGGAGACAGTCCTGAAGTCTTCACCTTCCAGCGTGGAGAAGATTGGCTGCAGGAGAGGAGCTGCTCCACCTGCAACAGGCTCTGCCCAAGGATGAGCCATGCCAGGACTATCCTCCATCGCCATCTCAGGCCATCCCTAGACCCCTCCTCTGCCATTATACCAGTGATCAGGGCTGGCATTGCAGGCTCCTGTCCATTATCCCCATGGGCCTGCCCTGCTGATGTTTATCACCTCCATGTGCCACAACTAGATGGAGCAAGGCCTTCCCCCTTGCTCAGCCCAAATTCCAGCTGATGACAAACGTAGAGCAGTAACAAAGCAAAGCAGCTTTCCTTCACCCCAGCAAGCAACTACACTCTAGTGAGCTCCCTTCCCCCACCACTCACTCCTCCCAAACTGTCAGCAAAGGGCAATGGAAGATGTCTGCATGTGAGCTGAGGAGTCCTGCGTAGGGCAGAGCAGAGCTCACTGGGATTTCTAAGGCGGTCTTTGCTGATTGCCATCTTCCACGACAGGGTCCTGTCCCTGAGTGAGCAAGAGAGAGTGATCCCTGTGGATCAGGCTCTCCCAGGCCAGACCTGCAAGAAGGGAGTATGTGCATGTGTGTATATATGCAGATGAGAAAGAGTGAGGGAGGGAGAGCGAATCAAATGAAAGATGAGTCTGGAAAGACCCAACTGGGGGGGGCCTTTCAGAAGAAGCTTCTCCCTCACCCTGGGCTGGTGGCAGTCCTGGGCCAGATGGCATATCACTTACCCTGACAGATCTGCATGTTCTCTGAGACGATCAGGGTGTACCCAGAGTAGCAGAGACACAAATAGGAGCCCACGTTATTGATACAGCGACCTTTTCCAGCACAAGGATCCTTCAGGCATTCATCTTCATCTGGGCTCAGGCAAGAAAGGCAGTCACCATGAGCAGCTTCCTGCTG